TTTAGAGGTTTTGGGGTTCGATGTCGAATAGTCTTGAAATTCTAGGAGATATATCTCGGGGTCATATAATGCTGTTAGGAACCATATACGATCATTTTTTGTTGTCATAAATGTTCATGGTAGACTTGAATTAATGAAATCGAGGCAAGTTGTAAATCCGTAAATTGGATGCTTCCACCCACCCAATTGGACTACCGAAGGGTATTAGACACCATGGTTATTATTTTGGCAATTTTTATTTTCACGTGAAAAAAAGTCAAAAAATCCAAAAATTAAAGGCTAGTATCCACGCTTTTGAGAAATTTTAGAGGTTTGGGGGCTCAGATAAATTTTGAATTTCTAGGGGATATATCTTGGGGTCATACAATGTCGTTTGGAACCGTATGTGATCATTATTTGTTGCCATAAATGTTCATGGTAGGCTTGAGTTAATGAAATCGATGCAAGTTATAAATCGGTAATTGTTCGTTTAAAGAAAAATTGGATGATTCTTCTCACCTAATTGGACTCCTGGAGGGTATTAGGGACCATGGTAAACATTTCGACATTTTTTATTTTCGAGGTCATATAATGCCATTTGGAACCATATGTGATCATTATTTGTTGTCATAAATGTTCATGGTAGGCTTAAATTAATGAAATCGGTGCAAGTTGTAAACCGGTAAATTTGTCGTTTAAAGGCAAATTGGATGATTCCACCCGTCCAATTGGACTATCAGAAGGTATTAGGGAATATGGTAAATATTTCAGCAATTTTTAATTTCGGGCGAAAAATGTAAAAAAATTCCGAAATTGAAGGTTAATATCCACATTTTTTGCGAAATTTAGAAGGTTTCGGGACCCGGTGTCGAAAAGAAATGAGATTTTAGAAGATACATCTCGAAGTCATATAATGCTGATTGAAACCATAAATGACCATTATATGTTGTCATAAATTTTCGTGGTAGGCTTAAGTTAATAAAATCAGTGCAAGTTGTAAACCAGTAAATTGGCCATTTAAAGGAAAATTTGATGGTTAGACCCAACTAATTGGACTCCCAGAGGGTATTAAGGACCATGCTAAACATTTCGTAGATATTTATTTCCAGGTGAAAAAAATTCAAATAATTCCAAAATTAAGGGCTACTATCCATGCTGTTTGAGAATTTTTTTAGGTTTCAGAGCTCGGTGTCGAAAAGTGTTGAAATTCTAGGAGATATATCTCGGGGTCATACAATGTCGTTTGGAACCATATATGATCATAATTTGTTGTCATCAATATTCATGGTAGGCTTGAGTTAATGAAATCAGTTGTAAACTAGTAAATTGGTCGTTTAAAGACAAATTGGATTTTTCCACCCACCCAATTTGGCTATCGGAGGGTATTAGAGACCATGGTAAACATTTCGGCAATTTTCATTTTCAAGCGAAAAAAAGTTAAGAAAATCCAAATTGAAGGCTAATATCCACGGTTTTTGAGAAATTTTAGAGGTTTCATGGTTTAGTGTCCAAAATATCTCAAGGGCATACAATGCCGTTTGGAACCATATATGATCATTATTTGTCGTCATAAATGTTCATGGTAGGCTTGAGTTAATTAAATCGGTGCAAGTTGTAAATCGATAAATTGTTTGTTTAAAGGAAAATTGGATGGTTCCACCCACCCAATTGGAGTCCCGGAGAATATTAGGGATCATGGTAAACATTTGGGTGATTTTTATTTTTGGGCGAAAAAAAGTTAAAAATTTTCCAAAATTGAAGGTTAATATTCACGCTTTTTGAGAAATTTTAGAGGTTCGGGGCCCAGTGTTGAAAAGTCTTTATATTATAGGGGATTCATCTCGGGGCCATAAATTGCCGTTTAGAATCATATATGATCATTATATATTGTCATAAATGTTTGTGGTAGCCTTGAGTTAATGAAATCGGCACAAGTTGTAAATCGGTAAATTGGCTGTTTAAAGGCAAATATGATGGTTCCACCCACCCAATTGGACTGCCGGAGGGTATTAGGGGTCATGGTAAACTTTTCGGCAATTTTTATATCCGGGGGAAAAAAAGTCAAAAATTTCCAAAATTGAAAGCTAATATCCACGCTTTTTGAGAAATTTCGAATGTTTAAGGGCCCGGTGTCGAAAAGCATTGAGATTTTAAGGGATACATCTCGGGGTCATATAATGTCGGTTGGAACCATATATGATCATTATATGTTGTCATAAATGTTCGTGGTTAGCTTGAGTTAATGAAATCGGTGCAAGTTGTAAACCAGTAAATTGGTCTTTTAAGGAAAATTGGATGGTTCCACCCACCCAATTGGACTTCCGGAGAATATTAGGGATTATGGTAAACATTTCGATAATTTTTATTTTTAGGCCAAAAAAAGTTAAAAAAATTCCAAAATTAAATTAATCCACACTTTTTGAGAAATTTTAGAGGTTCGAGGCCAGTGTTGAAAAGTCTTTATATTATAGGGGATTCATCTCAGGGTCATAAAATGCCGTTTGGAACCATATATGATCATTATATATTGTCATAAATGTTCATGGTAGGTTTGAGTTAATGAAATCGGCACAAGTTGTAAATCGGTAAATTGATTGTTTAAAGGCAAATATGATGGTTCCACCCACCCAATTAGACTGCCGGAGGGTATTAGGGGTCATGGTAAACTTTTCGGCAATTTTTATATCGGGGAAAAAAAGTCAAAAAATTCCAAAATTGAAGGCTAATATCCACGCTTTTTGTGAAATTTCGAATGTTTCAGTGCCCGGTGTCGAAAAGCATTGAGATTTTAGGGGATACATCTCGGGGTCATATAATGCCGGTTGGAACCATATATGATCATTATATGTTGTCATAAATGTTCGTGGTTAGCTTGAGTTAATGAAATCGGTGCAAGTTGTAAACCAGTAAATTGGTCGTTTAAAGGAAAATTGGATGGTTCCACCCACCCAATTGGACTTCCGGAGAATATTAGGGATTATGGTAAACATTTCGGTAATTTTTATTTTTAGGCCAAAAAAAGTTAAAAAAATTCCAAAATTAAATTAATCCACACTTTTTGAGAAATTTTAGAGGTTCGAGGCCAGTGTTGAAAAGTCTTTATATTATAGGGGATTCATCTCAGGGTCATAAAATGCCGTTTGGAACCATATATGATCATTATATATTGTCATAAATGTTCATGGTAGGCTTGAGTTAATGAAATCGGCACAAGTTGTAAATCGGTAAATTGACTGTTTAAAGGCAAATATGATGGTTCCACCCACCCAATTAGACTGCCGGAGGGTATTAGGGGTCATGGTAAACTTTTCGGCAATTTTTATATCGGGGAAAAAAAGTCAAAAAATTCCAAAATTGAAGGCTAATATCCACGCTTTTTGTGAAATTTCGAATGTTTCAGTGCCTGGTGTCGAAAAGCATTGAGATTTTAGGGGATACATCTCGGGGTCATATAATGCCGGTTGGAACCATATATGATCATTATATGTTGTCATAAATGTTCGTGATTAGCTTGAGTTAATGAAATCAGTGCAAGTTGTAAACCGATAAATTGGTCGTTTAAAGGCAAATTGGATGGTTCCATCCAGCCAATTAGACTCCCGGAGAGTATTAGGGACCATGGTAAACATTTCGGCAATTTTTTATTTCTAGGTGAAAATAATTAAAAAAAAATTTAAAATTGAAGGCTAATATCCACGGTTTTTGAGAAATTTTGGAGGTTTTGGGTAGAGTATTCAATTCGGGTAAACGGGTCGGATTTGAGTTAGGTAAGAGTGGGTCGGGTCAACTTGGGTCAGGTCAATTAGGATTAATTTTATAATCTATGCGGGTCGGGTTTAGGACATGTTAATAACAGGTCGGGTCACATTCGGGTCGGGTGAACAATCCGTCGGGTTTAATTATGGTTTTGACGGGTTAAAACGGGTTAGGGTAATTCTCGGGTTCGAGTCTGTTTCAGTTCAAGTCAATAATTTTCGGGTTAGTATCTGGTCAGGTTATTTTCGGGTTTGAGTCGGGCTCAGTTCAATTCAATAATTTGCGGATTATAATCAAGTTAGGTCATTTCCAAGTCGGGTCATTCTCGGATTCAAGTCGGGTTATGTTCAAGTCAATAATTTGTAGGTTACAATCAGGTCATTATCGGGTTATGTTCCACTAACTATAAATAGATAATCATTATTTTTTTCAAGCTAATTATTTCCTTTGACTATAATATCTATGACAATATACAAGGGAACTATAGTAAATAATTTAGGAAGATAATTATCTCCTTTGACCATACAACAAATATATACTATATTTAATTCTTAAATTTGAGGATGATGCTCCTTTCTTTTGCTGGCGTGGACCGACTTGGTCTCCCTAGACAAAATGCTTTGATCAACAATAATAAGGTGGTATAAATTGCATTTAAGGTGATTTGAAATCGGGTGAGGAACAATTTAGGTTGGGTCAATAACAAGTCGTGTTTATTTCGAGTCGGGTTAGTAACATATCAGGTTGAATATTTGGGTCGGTTTAGTAATAAGTCAGGTAAAATTTGGGTCGGGTCAATAACAAGTCGGGTTGAATTTGGGTCAGGTCAATAACAAGTCGGGTTGATTTCAGGTCGGGTTTGTAAAAGGTCGGGTTAAATTCGGGTCGGTTTGAAATCAGGTAAGGTTAGTAACAAGTCGGGTTAAATTCGGGTTTTGACGAGTTAAAACGGGTTTGGGTCAATTTCGGTTCAAGTCGGGTTCGGTTCAGGTCAATAATTTACGGGTTACATTCGGGTCGGGTCATCTCCAGGAGAGTTCATGTTCGGGTTCGGGTCTCATATACTCGGGTCAACTCAGGTCTAGGGTTGGTTTCAGGTCGGGTTTGGGTCACCATTTTTTCTGGTTCAGATGGGTCGGTTAATAATCGGGTTTGAGTCTGTATTTCGGGTCGGACAACTTTTGACAGCTTTACATTTATCTATTGTCTCAATCCTTGTTGTTTTAAATTTCATTATTTTATTTATTTTCTCCTTTTATTTCTAGCATTTCAAGAAAGTCAGCAGCCTTCTGAAGCAAATCCTTCTACAACTAGCAGTATATCTTCAGATCAAAACCATTCAAGTTTAAGCTTAGCTGCTCTTGCTGGCAGTTCATCAATCGCATCAGATTATGGTAGTGACACTGCTTATGAAACTTCTGAACTTGGAAGTCCTAGTTTTGGAAGGGATGATGTTTCTGAAGTCGGTCTAGAAGAATTGACATTGGATGAAGATCTGACAAATCCAATGGAAAAGATAACCAAGTACAGCATGTCTAATATTGACGAAGGGTTGTTGATGGGAGAAAGTATTTTGGATCAATTGGAAAGTTTCAAAAAGCATAAGGTGCAAAGTAGACTCATTGCAGATAATGGGAGTGCTTCGAAATCTGTCAGTTTAGCTCTTGATAGGGCAGGAAGTTCATTTGGGGCAGAGCCTATCAAGGCGGTCAACCATGTACGGAAGCCTTCGAATGAGAGTATAGGGAGTGACTTGAGTTCGTATAGAGGCGGTGAAATGTCAAATTCATGGACTCCTAACTTATTCGGGGATGCATCTCTTGACCTCCCCAGTGGAGCTGAAGCTTCTAGGACCATGGGGAGTCCTAGCAATTCAGAACTGCAATATAGTGTTGGAGATATAGTTCTACCAAGAGATCAGCAGCCTAAATTAGATAGAATTCTTATGATCATGCAGCGCAGATTAGTAACTGCGAAAACTGATATGGAGGATCTTATCACAAGATTGAATCAAGAAGTTGCTGTCAAGGAATACCTTACTACCAAGGTAATCACGATTTTGTTATCATTGCAAATAGCATGTTAACTCATTATATCTTTCATTTCCTTGTAAGGTTGTTTGTTGGTCACAGTCTCATGTGTTTCCTCTTTTCCAGGTCAAGGATTTGGAAGTTGAACTTGAAACTACTAAAGAGAAGAGTAGAGAAAACCTCCAGCAGGCATTGTCACTTGAAAAAGAAAGGGTTACAAAAATGCAGTGGGATATGGAGGAACTACGGCAGAAGTCATTAGAATTTGAGCTCCAGTTAAAATCTCAAAAGGTTCATTTCTATCCAGTTGCTTTTTAATTTTCCATGTTTATACTTATCGTACTTCTTTACAATATTGTGTAACTGTCTCGAAAAATCTCCAGGATGCTAAGTTGCCAGCAGACTCCATGAGGTCAGATGCTTTTCCAGAGAAGGATGAATTGTTGCGGGAGTTGGAAGCTACAAAAGACCAGCTTAATATCTTGTCAAAGCAACATGAAGAATTAGAGGTGAAATCTAAATCGGATATTAAGCTGCTTGTTAAGGAGGTTAAATCTTTGAGAAGATCTCAAGTTGATCTAAAGCAAAAACACGATGAATCAGTACAGGAGAAAATTGAAGTGGAGGTAGGTATTTTGGCTTTTGTTTTCTGTTAAAAGTGTTGCTTTCTCGTGTATTGAAGTTGGCGAAAGAAAATTTATTTAATTTTTTGTTGGGGGTAGGGGTGAGGGTGTGAATTTTTTGTATTATCAATTCTTTTTTTTCCTAAGTGGGTGTGCCTGTCTTGGTTAAGGATATATGTGCAAACCAAGTAGTTATGGAGATGCAGTGTCTTCAGGATGTCAGTAAGATCTTGGTGAGTTGTGGTAAAATTTGGTATGTTGAAGGATACTAAGATTGCTGGTTAAATGGAGAACAATAAGAGTATATTTGTGATTTCTCAACTAGTTTTGGTCAAGGCTCATGGCTGCTTGTTTATAATGGTGCATGATCATTGCGCCCTTTTTTAAGTAGAAACGTATTCTCAGTTATTCCTGGCATTATGTACTTTAACCTTGGGCACAATATGGAAAATCAGTTGTGTCAGCCTTGGTGTCAGATATGTATATAGATAGTGATCTATATTGTTTTTGAAACTTTAAGCTTACCCATCTGTTGCTAATCATCACCATGTCTTCTTAGCCAGCTGTTACCTATGAATCTATGATGGTCTCCTTACTCACCTATATTGGCTTTTACTTTTAGCACTTGCCAGCAGTCGCTAATCTTACACCCATGGTCTGGTTATGTCCCTGTTTCTGTGCCATCTTCTTTATTTCATCTTCTTTTCTATTTTTATTTTTTCAGCAATCTAGTTAAATTTATTGAGGTTAGGCGATCTTTTGTGTCTGGAAAATCGTAGTGTGCAAAATTAATGCATGACTTTGCCTTTACATCTCCACTGATGCTAAAGAATCTTCTTTCTTCCTCTTTACCTTTGCTCATACTTGTCATATTTTCTCAGCAACTCTTACAGCAAGAATTGGAGAGAAATAAACTTGCTTTGGCTGCAAGAAGAAAGCTGTTGCATAATTCCCAAACCCTTCAGACTCGGCTTCTGGAGTGTAATATCAAAATTGCAGATGATAATTTTGCAGTTGATTCATCCTCAGTATCAGATGTTTTAGATCTCCTTGCAGATTCTGACCAGCAAATTGATCTTCTCTTGGCAGAGGTATATGCTGCTTTAAGTGTCACTTTATTTCTGTTATTTCTGGTTGGAGAAATATATATGTAATATTTTTTTCTAGATCTTCAAACAGTACATCTGCAAACATGCCCTATGATATGTTCTTGGCTTTTGTTTATATGGATGCTCCCTTTGACCAATTTGTGTCAATATGTTTCAGTCTCAACTATTGGCTCCCGCCACTGACATGCTTTCAAATAGCGAAGATTTGAAGGCATTGGATCATGAGTTGAGGGCTGTGTTGAGAGATATATTTTCTGACAACGCTAAGCTGAGAAAGCAGATGAACTTTTTTATTCGTACTGCTCTCCAATCAGATAGTTCTACCAATGAAAATGGTAATCAAGGCTTAACTAAAACTGTTTTGAAACAGCTTTTTGAAACATGAAACCGTAAGTACAGATGTAATTTTTACTCTCCCTTCTGTGTAGCATGAGCAATTTTCTTGGATTATTGCTTGATTTAACCTATGGCCTTGTAATTTTTCCTGTGGTATATGAAATACACGACTTTAGGAAGCAATTCTATGTGAATACTAATAATGTTGTATTATCTCTCATTTTAGTGTTTAGCACATTTTTGTCGTAATTATGAATGACAATTTCATTGAGAAAATCCTGAAGTTATATTAACTTTTTCTATTGACATCATTGGTGTGTACAATTTAAGCAGCGCTTGCTGAATAAATATTCAATTACTTCGGGAAATCTTGCATCATTCCATACTTCAGTAATATTTGTTACTACTCATTATGAAGCATCAATTGTTTAAGTTGTCAGAGCCTTAACTCGCAGCAAGCTTGTTTGTGCAATTATGCAACCCATGTAGTATTGTGAGATTAACTCCTTGGAACTTGAGGGCTCTCAGCTTCTTATGATTCGGGTTTGCTTTGTCATCAGTTGACCCAAGCCATATTTGACTGAGTGCTAGTCTCTCAGGTTTAGGCAAAGGTAATGATCGTATCTTGAGAATCAATTTTGTTACATTATTAGCATATATTCACAGGAAGGGCTATTCTTTGAATGATCTCAACTGTTCAAGACTCTTGGGTATAACCGTATAATACATTAATAACTTGTCTCAAATGCTCTGGACCCAAAATTTTGTGTTGGAACAACCAAAGCCTTAAAGCGAACATTAAACGTACAAGACTAGAGCTATAAGTCAAGTAGGCTACTCTACTCATTACCTATCGGTTTTAGGTTTGAACCCCGCTAAATTTGTATATGATCATACTCTTCTCCCCGAAGGCTTATATAAGGCCGACCAAGTATTTATCAATTGTCATACTCAATATGAAATCTATATAACCAGTAAAGTGTATCCAGGGGATTGAAAATGTATTCGGACCTGCTGCTTATAATAAAAAATCAATCAACATGATTATCTTGGCCAAGAATTCGAAATTTGGCATTCAAATCATGACCTTAGCACCAGGGTTCAAACAGAAACAACATATTACAGAGCACAAACATTTTAAGTTGGAAGAGGATACAAACATTCTGTTGAATACGGTATATATATCCAACTTGAGTTTGGTCGTCTAGATAGCAATGAAGGGTAAGATTACAATCCTCGATACAAATAATAAACATCAGTGCGTTCCATCCTAGTTTTCATTCCCTTCAACCTTCAATAGCACTCAATCAGCCGCTGTTTACCATCAAACTGCATGAGATGAAGGAGATCAAAGCTCTGTTTCAAAATCTCCTTGCAGATTTTCAACTTGTTAAAGCAAATTCATCAGCCTCTCTCCGCATATCCATTTTCGACCTACAATGATCAACATGAAATTCTTATGCAACTTTTGCCAGTTGTGAATAAAATCTTTGGAAGTAAACAAGTAAAATCAATGCGTATTTATGCTTTTTTACCTTAAACGGCAGTCTTCTAGCTGGCGTGGCTCAACAAGAACATAAAGTGGAGTTCCTCTAAGCTTGAACTTCTCCTGCAACATACATTTAGTCAAAATTAGATCTGAAATGCAAAGAGGTATCAGACCTCGTATACTTGTTCAAGGTGACTATCTCATCAAGTTCTGAGCACAATCTACCAGTTATTTGTCTAACTCAACAGTCCTGGGGAATCAGAAGTCAGAGAGGGGGGAGGGGGGTAGCCGAGTTTCCGTTATTTGTTGTACAAGAAGATGTAAATCAACCTTGCAATCCTAAATACTTATTATAGTGTTCACAAAATCAATCTATGGTTACCTACATATTCTATCAGGTTGGTTGGTCTAGTAAATAATAACTGAAGATGAGCTCTTTTCAGGAAAAAAAAAAAAAAAAAAAACAGTAGGAAACTTTTAAAGCAATTACCTTGACTTCAGGCAATCCAATTACACAGGCACATTCAACTACTTCAGCGCCAACCCGTTCTATTAATAAACAAACAAGTATAGAGCTTAGCAATTAAGCATGGCCTCAATCAAATGGGCAGAAATACAAAGATTGATGCAAAATAATGAAGAGTGAACCTGAATTTATTAAAAGATTACGAACTTACCAAGAAGTCCAATTGCTGCACAAAGTGTACCACCGGTAGCAACTAGATCATCAATTATCAATGCACGCTCACCAGGTTGAACAGCTCCAACATGCATCTCCAAACAGTCAGTTCCGTACTCTAGCTCATATGATTCTGAAATCACTTCCCCTGTCAAGCACATATCGGAAAAAATTCTATCAGAGAAAATAAGTTTCTTGCTCACTTGTGGCCGAAATTTAGGATCTCTACAGAGGAATAGCGAAGGCTTAAGAAATTTGTATTGTGATCAATCACCAACTGAAATGAACATACCAGGTAGTTTTCTTGGTTTACGCAATGGTACAAACTTTGCTCCAATAGCTAAAGCAATTGGTGGACCAAACATAAATCCTCTTGCTTCAACCCCTACAAATAACGAATTTATATACATGAATTAAGCTTTTTACTCCTGCATTGTCCATGATAAAACTATGAAAACTTGAAATGCACAATCACATATTGTAGTGAGACAAATGATACTCGTGCTAGTTATCACATTTTATGGCAACCTATGTTCTTAAGATCGATATTTGATCTCATAAGAGCACAATTTTCTATTACTAAAAAAAAAACACAACTTTCAAGAAACGACTAGTTAAAACCTCTAATCAGCTCAAGTAGTTGTGTTGGATCCTTAACAATCCGACCTAGGAACAGAATTGTCCAACACTTGTTCATATACCCACGCCTAGCAAAACAAGCCCAAGAAAGATATTGATGAAAAGCAAACACCACAATATAACAAAAATTCTCCACTTGGGATTATAGGTCAACTTCCAACTAAGACGTATACAATACATAAGGAATTGAAATTCACCATTAACATGTACAAAAGCCATGCTAAACATCTCTACACACTTAGAGCCTTAGAAGTCCATGACTTACACACCAAACGAACATAAATACACCAAGCCACGCTTGGAATGGCCATTATTCACTTTCGGGAAATATGTTTCACACCATACACGGTCTTTAACCTCAAAACAGTAAACAAGACACGAAAAAAGAACAAGAACATGCAGACTCAAACATCGTTCTGTAGCCCCTCACAGTACAAGAGTCCTAATAGAGGCAGTTAGTATGTAACCCATGATGTCTTGGCCTCTTTAAGGAAAATTAAATAGAAAAGAAAAGCATTGTGCCCTAACAATGAAAAAGTTCCAAGGATGAATTGAGGTTTGGTGTCTCACATATGGACCCATAACATAAACGTTAAAAAGGACTATAACTAATTATCAAAACTTTGTTGTTTTCTGTTTGATCCACGGCAAAGCCATAAAAGAAGAAGAGGGGGTGGGGAACTAATATGACCGGAGTAGGCCACAGGGAGACTTCAAATCTACTTATAATGTCACATCTTGAGATACAACAAGACGTCGAGTATATACTTCCTCAACTCCATAATACTCCGTAACAAATATAAATTATTATTACGACGTAACAATCAAATATTATTACAATTACAACAACATATATGTTTCTTGTACGATGGGAATTAAATCTCATTTATGTATCAATGTATCTTTTATCTTAGATTAATTTGTAAATGGGTGGAGTATGCTTATGTAGTCATCCATTCAAAAACTAATCATTGGTAATACTTAAATGATAAGGGCAAGCATTAAAATATATCAACAAGAAGAAAAAACAGCTTCCCTTGTAATAATTAAATGGACTAATTATATTCTTTTGATAAAAACAGTGATTAAATTACTAACTCGGATTCATAATCCTGATTAATACATATAAAATTGGATACTTTAGTCACTTTTATTCACCTCTTTTGTTAAAAATGCATTAAAAATTGTCTAAAAAGGAGATTAAGGATTACCTAAAACCACTATAATTGCGGTCCCAATCAATAATAAAATGACACATCAGTGTTGGTAGATAACATGAGTTGGCATTATTCATTGTTAAGGATTAAATTTTAGAGACATTAATATGTTAAGGATAACCATTGAAGGTAAAGCTAATTCCTTGTACTAAAAATTGCATGTAAATAAACAAATGGTCAATGACGCATTGACCCTAAAGGTTAGCGACCCTCACATTGTGATTAATCTGTGTGGTATTGTCTCTCACAAACGTTAGTAACTCTTAGGACCGACCAAACATTTTCCGTACAATATACACCATAACAGTATATGCATGCCCTGCCTTGCCCTTTTAGTGTAACCCTTAGGATCGACCAAACATTTTTCGTAAATTAAAAACACAAATTTAAAAGACACATGATACAAATAAATAAATAGGGAAATAAAACATCTAAATTTGGACAAATTATCATCAAAATTTTACAAATTTCAATAGAAAATTCAACAAAAAAAAATTAAAAAAATATATTGACACAAAAACACTTAATAAATACTGTAGTAAAAATGAAAATTACATGAAATAAAATCAAAAGGGAAAAAAAAAATGAAAATTCTCATACATGAGAATATAAAGAGCCAAAAATAATAAATAAAAAAGAAGAGAGAGAAAATACCAGCAACAACAGAGATATTCATGTCTCTGTATCTGTCAACAAATATATCAATAGTATGTTTGAAGGCTTCTGGGTCCAATAATAATGTTGTTATATCTTGGAACATTATACCTAACAAATTCAACCACCATTTAAATAATTAATTATATTTTACTGTACTGATTACCCAGAAAATTAAATTAAAAACCCAGAAATTTCATAAAATAATCAAAATAAAAAAGAAGAGAAAACAAATAATAAAAAAATAAAAAGTAAAAAAAAAAACCTGGTTTAGGAAAATGAGGAACAACCCTAATGGCTTCAGAAATAGCTTGAAGCCTTGGATCTCCTTTCAACCCATTCTCAGCAGCAAACATATTTTCTTTCTCTCTCTTTCTATAAATTTCTCTCTCTAAAAAAAATTCAAAAAATGGAAGTAGAATTTTCAAGTGTAGAAATAAATTTAGGTCAAACTTGAAGATGGGTATTTCTGGGAAATAGTTATTTTGCACAGTTTCTCTCTCCAAATTTGTTAGGAGGTTCACTTTCTCTCTCTAAAATCAGAGTATTTTCTTTTCTTGTTGGTTGGGTGAAGCAGAGTATGGTAGTAGAGTGGCAG